AATGTTATGCTCACGCGTGAAAGCTAAAGAGATCATCGGTTAATATTATTCTTGCCTTTCATGAAAATATTAGAACTTTAACTTAAAAAATATCATTTTATAATAATTTTTTTAAATTAATAATTAAATTTGGTATTTTATTTATATAAATTATATGTGTTAATTTTTAAATTATATAACATTTAATATCATTAAATATATATTTAAAATTATAAAATTTAAATTCAATATGAAATTAATAAATAAAATTAAAATTAAAATTTATGTTTTTTATAATATTAACAGTGTAAAAAAAAAAACTATAAGGTGGATATTTTCATAAGCATGTATCATGCAGGCAGAGCAAAGCAGGGCATGTCTGGACGCTGGCCGTCCAATAAAATTAAATAAGTTCATCGAAGCTTATTTACATTGCTCTGGAAAAGTTATCATTATCAAATTCGCAGCATATTTATGGAAGAAAGAAAGCCAGAAGGACGATGTTATTTACACGCATAAATAATACAAACAAAATCTAGACTATGCTACTTCAGATGGTTTAGAAAATGATACAAGGAAATAAATTATGCAAAATCTTTGCATCCCCTGAGTAAAAGGATGTGACTTTATGAATTTATTTTAGATTTAAAAGTAAACTAGAGAGACAAATCGATTACCATATGGTTTATTTTACAAATTTCAGACCATTTGAAAAGTCTTATGTGAGGGAAAACATGTGTGCTCATGGCACAAGAGAAACCTTCCCTGAAAACAGAGTTATGAATTTCCAATTACAGATTGAGTTTACCTGCTAAGTACCATGAGTGCATTGCAAGACTGCCAAAGGCCATGATATTAGCAAGAGAAGATAAGCCATGAATCATTCCGAACTTCTTGTTCATGGCTGCAAGCTTTGGATTCACCTTCGCAACTTCCCTATTCTTTGACCACCCAGTTTCCTCTCCAATGTTCTCTTCTCTTTCCACCTTGTGCCTTTGCTTCATCATCTACACCATGAAAGTAAAAAGAAAATAGCATATAAGTCATAGCATATAAGTCATAGCACTGGATCTATGATCCTTTAAATGAGAAACTAAGATATAACTCAAAAACCATCTTCTGAGCAGAAGAAAATGAAGAAGGTTGATTAAATCGACATAAAACTCCTAACTCCTAGGCAGGTTTCTTTCATTCAATTGGCACTAAGAGATACAGAACAAGTCATCTAGAACCTCACTGGCCAAAAAAAAAAGAAAAGAAAAAGGGAAACAAACGTTGAACCTAGATTAAAATTACAGATCTCCACTAACAGAATCTTATACAACTATCTTGTTTCTCTTCTTCAAAAGAGTATATACACATATGAAGTTAAGCTAAAGAGTGAAGCAAATATGAAGTTTTACAAATTCTATCAAATAACATAATAATACGAAATTGAAATTAATTTAATAAGAAAAAAGAGAACGACGCAGGTTACTCAAGAACACCAACACAAATGTCAACAACATCCACATCAGGTAAAAGCCTTGAATACGGATTGGGAGCAGGGCAAGTTACCTCAATCGTCATAGGTGTAAAGACGAGCAAATTGGTGAGATTAAAGGCGAGGGCCGAGACTAGAAACCCAAGCTGGTACTTTTCAGCTGTAGATGAAGACTTCCATGGGTGCAGATAACCAAATGACGCCATAGAAATGGAACAACAGATCCCCACCATCGAGAAATAGGCTGGAAACATCTTGCTTTGCAGATTGCCAAACTGATGTCTTGGTAAATTCCTAATTTCACAAAGACCCATTTCAATTTTTCCGAATTAACAACTCCTCATTACACGCCTAATTGGGCATCGAGGCTAGGGTTAATTCATAACTAAGCTTCTATTTATCAATCTAAAAATCTAAACTTTTGGGCAAAATTACTCAACAAAAATAACAATAGTAAGATGCGGAGAGAAATATGGGCATACTTGAACATGATGATGCCGCCAATGAAGGTGACCCAGAGAGCCGCTCCCCAAGCCGTGGAGAAGCTAAGGAGATGAGCAAGCTTCAAGTAGGTCGACAGCTTCAGCGAGCCGTCGCCGTTGGACCCGAAGGTCTCCGGCGAGAAAATCACTCCGACGGCTAAGAAAGCCACCGCAGCTAAGAATCGTGTAATCCAAGCCATGGCTCAACCCAACCTGATTGTCTCTTTGATTCTGGTGGGAACTATGGCGAGGAAAATGGATAGTTTTTATACCATGCGAGGATATTCACAAAGCGAACTTTTGGTACTTCGTACGTAGGAGTATCTCACTCTGGATTTGGTCAAGTTACAACAACTGCCCATGGTTTTACGGCATTTGATTTGCTGTCAGAAATCATTACCATCTACGTGGCACGATCTGCTACTTCTAGAAGATTCCTAAATTCCAATAAAGTCGGCGCCTTAATATAAATGCAAGGTTTTCCTAACCCGCCGCGTTTATTACATATTTTTATTTTTTTTTTTGAACATATTTGCAAGGGCGGGTTTCGACCCAGCTCGAAGAGAGGGGAGTGCATCGGCGTGACTATTGCCACTAAGTTGGAAGGGTCAG